CGCGCCTGGCCCCATAACAAACCCCGCGCCACCCGCGTCTGCTCGGCGGCTTCTCGCTCCCGCAGCCAGAGAGCCCCGGCCACGGCAGAACGGCCGTCTGCTCCGCGTCTGGGGCTGAGGAAGGCGCCCGAAACATGACCGCAGGCCTCTGCCGTCCCCGCGGCTCAGCCGGCCGCTGCCGTGTGCTGGGCACTGGCCGGACGGGAGACCACGCAGGGGCCGTGGGCCGAGACGCGGATCAGCCCCACGGCACCGGAGCAGGACACTCGGGGGCGTACCGGGCCCCCCGAAATGCGGGTGTCAGGGCCATCTCTGCCGGCCGGACACGGGTTCGCTCTGGCCTCACGGGCCCTGTCCCCTGGTGCTCGCCACGTCTCACCACCGGGCCTCCTGCCAGTAACGCGTCTGCGTGCCGGCCTGAGCTGGGGGGCTGCCTTCGAAAAGAACTCACACCTGTCCCCGAGGTCACCCGCGTCAGTGTTCCTAACCCAAAGGCCTGCACAGCGATGGGAGCGAAGGGGATGGGTAGCTGACCCCGGCGGTGGCGTGAAGTGCCCGGTAAGGCAGAGACAACGGGAAGTCTCTGTGTCCTGGGGCACCTTCCTGCTCACTCACAGCCTTGGTGGCTGTGACAGGGGCCCAGACCACAGGCACCTGCTCAGGACAGTGCCTGGGAGGCTCTCTGGCGACGAGGGAGCCGAGAAGACCCCTCCAGCAGCCCTGCGGGGGGCGGCCACGTTGCATGGCGCAGAGGGGGCTGCTGGCCTGAGACCGCCATCTGTTTATGAGGCAAGGCTCAGAGCATCTTTCTTCCAAGAAATAACATCTGTCCATCTCAAGGAGGGGGGTCCCCCACGTTCCCAAACCCCAAAGCGGTGCGCTGTGGTTGGAAACCATTGTACCAACACACAGAATACATATTCACACACACATGCACACACATATGTACACAGACATCCACACACACACAAATGCATGCACACAGGTGCGCACACCCGTGCACGTGCACACACATACGCACACATACACAAATACAGACCCACGCACAAATGCACACACTGCACACATACAGGCACAAATGCACACATGTGCACACACAGGCACACACATACACACTCACATGCTCACACATGCACACACATGCGTGAACACGCACGGTTTTGATAAAGAGAAAGAACACAGTAAGCAATGTCACCACGGTCCTGACCCTGCCCTGAGCTGACCAGCAGTGCTGGGGGCCGTCCCCCAGCGTCCCCGTCACCCCATAATGTCACCACGGTCTGTCCCTGCCCTGAGCTGACCAGCAGTGCTGGGGGCTGTCCCCCAGCTTCCCCGTCACCCCATAATGTCACCACGGTCGGTCCCTGCCCTGAGCTGACCCGCGGTGGTGGAGCCATCCCATCCCCCAGCCTCCCTGTCACCCCACACCCGGCACCCGTCTCCTTGCAGGGACAAGCGGCAGGCTGTGGTCACTGCCTCGGAGTCTGTCCCTCCCTCCCCACACCCCTTGCCCATGAGGTACAGCCGCGCCCGGGCCACGCCGTCCGGACAGGTGGACGTGCGCCGGCACAGGTGGCTGTGGAACGCACCTGGCGCCATGCTCCGCGGGCGGCGAGCCTCGGTCCAGGCTCTGCCGCCTTCACTCGCGACAGCCTCCTCTGTCTTGGACGTGAGGAAGCGTGAGGCTGAGCAGGCCCTGTCACAGCCTGGCTCCAGACTGAGGGACACTCGGTGCAGCCCCCCGGCGTGTGCCCCCCGCGGTGCCGCCCCGCCCTGCCCGCACACCTGTTTGGGCCTCTGCAGGAGCTCCTGGGCCACCGCCGTGGCAAAGATGGCTCTGCTGCTCCCTGGGCTGAGCTGCAAGGACAGTGACAGCCCTGTCACCAGCTGGACCCCGAGGCCCGTGATGGCCACCTTCTCGTCCAGCACGGCGATGGTCTTTTCGGCCAAGATGGCATCTGACAGCGGCGACAAGATCTGAAAGGCAAAACCAACAAGGCGAAGAAAAGCCTTTCGTGGTCCCAGAAAGTCCTGCCATCGCGTGAACGATGTCCCTTGCGTGGGGGGTTGGGGGGTGGACAGACGGACGAGCCAGGACGCGCAGGAACGAGCCCGTCCCTCTGAGGTCGCCTTCCGAAAGCCGACCTCGCACGTGAGAGCCGTATGCTTTGGGTGGCCGTGAGAGGGGACGGGGCCCGACTCGACACCGTTGCCCGGCACCCACACCTCGCCCCGGAGAGAAGGGCTGACGTTTTCGCGCGTGAGCACCCGCCACGCCTCCCACCGAGGCGGCCGCCCGCCGTTATCCAGCGCGGATCTGTGTGCGGTTATTTATTCTTCCTAAATGCTTCGCTGGGAAATCTTCATGGCATCAGGAACAGTTGGGTGTTTACACATTTCGCTCTCACACGCGGCCGACGCCGTCAGCCCATGGACCGCCCGCCTCGCCCGCGTGTCCCGGGAGGCCACGCCCCACACTGGGGGACACTCGCTCGACCTGCCCGTCCACCAGACGTAGCTGCCGCGGACGTGAGCAGCCCGCCTCCCTCCTCTGCACAGCTGGGGCGGCCTGGGGTGGTGCCGCGTGGGGGGCACCCCGAGACAGGGCCAGGCCCCGCTCCTCCCTCCCCCTCTCCCACGGAGCCCCGACCTCCCTAAGGAAACAGGCCCAGCACCCTTCCACCGCGTCCTGACCAATTCCTCTTCCTGAGGCCTGTGAGGACACCAGGGCTCCCTGCGGCTGGTGCCCCCGGCTCCACGGTCCACCCGGTGCCTTTGTGGCTTCTAACCCTGGTCGTGACAAAGCCAGTGGCACGGAGTGTGAGGTGTGAGTCGCCAGGACGAAGCGCACGCGGACTCAGGACGCGGGGGGCCCCGGGATCCAAAGCGAGGGGGGTGGGGCTCGGGAGCAGGTGGCCGACCAGGATGCATCCCGCCGTCATCGTGGATGTGGCCCGGTCCCCACTACGACACCCAGCGCATGCTCCGTGCCAACTCCTCCCCCCGGCTCCTGGCGCCAGTGCGGGGCCCGCCCGCCAGCCAGGGAACACGGGTCCCCCAGCGGGGACTGTGAGCACTGGCCTGTGCCCCGCTGGGCATAACGAGCCCTGTGACATGCAATGGGTGGCCGTCCTCCGGCCACGAAGTGCCCTGCCGTGGGCTCCTCACCTGGACGGCGGTCATCCCGAGCCCCTGGCCGACCAGGACCGGGCCGCCTTGCAGCGTGGCGACGCGAGGCTCTTCCACCAGCATGAACTCGGCCACCAGCTCCGTGACGTCCACCTGCCAGTCTGAGCCCAGCAGGTGCGCCAGGTGGCCCCCGGGCTCAGCTGCCTCGGCCACGAACTGGGTGAGCACGCGCACCGTGGCGTGCTGGTACTGCAGGGTGCAGCCGCGGCCCCGCCGCTCCTCGCCCTCCTCGTCCTCGCTGTCCCGAGCCGGCCTGTCAAAGGGTCCGTGCAGTTTAACAGGTCCAGACCTGTCGGGCCGACGGTCAGGGGCTGCGTCGTGAGTGGGCCCGAGCCCGGCCCGGTGTGGGCTCAGGCAGCCATGCCTGGCCACACCCAGAATGGGGGGCCACGGGGCGGCGTGAGCACTGACCAGCCGGATGGGTGGGGGCGGGCGGGAGCGGTCTAAGGTGTCCGCAGTGAACCCTACATCCTGGCACCCACTTTCCGGAGCCCCCGCCCCTTGACCGTACCCTCCCTCCCACGACGGGCCGTAGCGGAGGCGCGGGGTGGCCCTGCCAGGCTCCAGTTTAAAGGGCTCTGTCTCCGTCTGGCTCGGGGTCGAGCACTGACCAGCCGGATGGGTGGGGGCGGGCGGGAGCGGTCTAAGGTGTCCGCAGTGAACCCTACATCCTGGCACCCACTTTCCGGAGCCCCCGCCCCTTGACCGTACCCTCCCTCCCACGACGGGCCGTAGCGGAGGCGCGGGGTGGCCCTGCCAGGCTCCAGTTTAAAGGGCTCTGTCTCCGTCTGGCTCGGTGTCTGTCCTCAGCCCGCCTCTCCTGCTCTGGGGGAGCAGGCCGCCGAGCCGCGAGCCGCCCCGTGGATGTGCCACACGGCTGGAACCTGGGAGCGGCCCCGGGCCCGCAGCCCGCAAGGAACGGTGGCCCTCAGTCCACCAGCCCGTGGGAGGCGGACACCTGCCAACAGCCACACCTAGCGTGACACAGGTCCTTCCCCCTGAGCCTCCGGGTGGGACGGCAGCTCTGCGGATCTCGGGACGGCCCCCCGTGAGACACCCAGCTAAGCCGCGCCTGGAGTCCTGGCCCACGGAACCTGCGAGGGGACACGTTCTTTTAAGCCACTCGGTTGTGGGACAAGTCACTAAATTATGTAGCAAGAGATAACTAACAGGTATGGCCTTATAGACCAGTACGTGAGCAAGGTGACAACGTGACTCCATCTGAGGCACCAGGCAGGAACAGATATGGACAGGGTCAGGTGGCCGGGCTGGGGGACAGACGTGGTCGGGGCTGGGTGGCTGGGTGGCTGGGCCAGGGGACGGACGTGGATGGGGCGGGTGGCTGGGGGACGGATGTGGACAGGGCTGGGTGGCCAGGCGAGTCAGCCCTTCCCAGCATCATTGCGACAGCAGCTGCTCACCTCTCAAACCCGTCCTGCTGCCATGTCTGAGGGGGGCAGAAGCGATGGCGTCTGGGGTGGGCCGTGGGCACCCTCAGCCAGCTCCACGTGGGTCCCTCCCGCAACGCCTGTCCTGACAGCCTTGACGACCGTGCCCCCCAACCCAGCACCGTGGACCCGCGTGGTTAGGAACGGACTTGGCTGAGACCTTCTTCCGGCCACACAAGGCCCCAGCTTCATCCTTGGAGCCCCCCGCTCTCCCACGGGCACCAGGGGGGATGGCCAAGGGACGGACTGCAGAAGTGCCCTCGGTAGGCATCGTGTCCCTACGCTGTGCGGGGTCCGCAGACTCCAGGAAGCTCTGCTGTGCGTGCAGCCCCCGCCTTTCCGCACGTCTGTGGGTCCCCACGCACGGCCTCCTCTGAGGCGGCCGTGTCTGAACCCAGAGCCTGAGGTCCTGCAACTCTGTCTGTGCTGTCCGTTTGGTGGCCTGGCGTGGATGACGGGACTTAGTGCTCTACCGAACACCATCAGAGTGACAGCGAGAACACAGGTGACAAGCTCCCGACTTCGCCCCCCAGGGCAAACGAGCTCAGCGCTCCAGACGGGGGGCAGGAGACGCGGTTCGGGGGACCACTTGAGCCCCAGACCCCGCCAGGCCGGAGCCAGCGGCCTGCAAGTCCCACCGACCCGGTGTCTGAGAGGGCCCTGCACACGCACGCACCTCGTGTTGGGGACGACGGGGACTCTCCAGCCCTTGATCTGGCTGAGCTCGGCGTCGGACACCTCGATCTGCAGCGGGAGCCGGGGCGCCCACACGGCCAGCTCCAGGGGGCCCTGCAGGTGCTGGTAAGAGAAGGTGACCGCCGCCTTCACCCCGCCTCTCATCTCCTTCCCGTTGACAAACACGTAGTCGCAGTGGTCGGACACCTGTGCGCGGGGACAGGGACGAGACGCGTCCGCCCTCGTCATATCCCGCAGGGACCGCGGGAGGACGCAGAGGGACAGGGACGCGCCCGGCTGCTTGGGGTCCCTCACGGGGCGCCCCGGTTGCAGTCACAGTGTCTGTCTGGAGAGAGGCGGAGGAGACGCGACACCCACAGGGCAGAGAAGGCCACACTGCGGTGATGCGGCCGCAGTCACCCTGCACCGTGTCTCACTCCCCCGTCTTCCCTCACGGAGCTTCGTGCACCAGGGGCCCGGCTCAGGCTCGGCGCCCGGGGGCCCTGGGAAGGACACGGCCGCGTCCCCCGGGGCCGTGCCCTGGGCAGGACGGACAAGCCGCGCTGTGTTCCTGCAGGAGCCAGACGGGGCAGAGCGTCCCCGGGGCCCGACACCCCTCCGTCTCCCGTCGCTGCGGGAGATGAACCGGGATTTGCCTCAGTCCAGCGGAGCCGGCGAGCTCTGTCCGTCCCTTGTCAATCTACGACCAGCCGCACACGTCCAGCGATTTGTCAACTGCCGCTTCACAAATGCCGAGGGCCGGAAGGGGCATCTACCAAAACCCCGACCCCCTTTCAAATTCCATTCCCAGCCACTGCCCTGGCCTGGGATGGGGCCACGGCTAATATTTCTGGCTCTGGCGAGCACGGTCACACAAATTCACTGATGCGAATTTAATGCTATTTCCATTTTCCCCCCTTTTCCTGTTTAAACGCTGTAGGAGCAGAAATCTTATTCAGGTATCACCAACGCTCGCGGCGAAATGTATGTTCTTCTGATTATGTTTTCTCTGTCCTTTCTCTGAAGCGCTAGAGCTAAGGATGTGGAGATTCTGCCCACCCCCGCCCCGAAGCAGACCGCCGGAGGGACGTTTGCACCTGCTTCTCGGACGAGGCGTTACTAGGTGATACTGCGCTGTCACCACACTGGGCCTCTTCCTGGGGACGCTGCACAGGGACGTCCTGGCGTCTCTGGAACCATCTGCATATTTTCCCTCTAAAGCCCTGAAACGACGCTCCCTGGAAGCTGTTATTTTTAAGTCGAAACAGAACGTGTTCACACCCCCTGCACTGCTCCCCGGCCTCGCCCGCGTCCGGGGGGCCGCCTTCCGAATACTTGCTTCGCTTTCAAAGCCACCGCCACGTGGCCGGCGTCACCAGAGCGCAGGGCACTCCCGCAGTCGTCAGCCAACAGTTTTCATGACAACATGGTCAAGCAGGCCTGGCCAGCCGAGCACTGCTCCAGGCTGCTCCCAGCCCTCCCGGTGTTGGGGCTGGCTCCTCTCTGTGGCGGGGCCGTCTTGTCCCCCGTGGGGCATTTAGCAATGTCCCTGCTCTCTGCCCACGAGATGCCAGCAGCAGCCCCCGCTCCAGCCCTGATGTCCTGCCCCTGTGAGCGTGACCAGCATAAAGCATCACGCCGGCACACGACAGAGGGACTTCACGCCGCCGACATTGGTACCCGTGAGAGCAGGCGCTGTCCTCGGTGCTGCAGACACAGCGGCCAATGCGGAGACGAAGTTTCTGACTCCGCCGTGTCCTCGGAGGCCGAGACTTACCTCGCGATAGTGGCGGGATCCAAAACCTGACAGGGAACCACGGGCTGCAGGGGCGGGTGCTGCTGGGGGTGGGGACGGCGTGGGGACAGAGGGTTTAGCCGAAACCCGGATCTTAAGTCCTGTGTCAACCACGAGAGTCCCCGAGCCGTGGGCATCTGGGACGCGTGCCACAGGCGGACGTGGGAATGAGTGTGACATCTTGGAGACAGAAAACAAGTGGAAGACACTCTGGCTGACGCCGGAGTGGGCGACAGTGTGACAGGCCTGCCAGGCCATGGGGTGGAGCCTGTGTTTGGCGGGGCGCCTGCCTACGGCCACGAGGATGTTTTGTGTGGGAGGGACACGGCCTGAGTTACATTTTTAGGAAACCACTCTGGCCACTTGGTGAGGCGGACGAGGGCGTGAGAGCTGGAGGCAGCATCGACACTGGATGCTCACGCCGGGCGTGCACGTCTGAGAGCGGCCGCTTCCTCCACCACCCAAGATGAGCCGCATGGGGACAAGGAGCTTGAGGCAGGGAAGCCTGGCAGATGCCCCCTAACCAGAGATCAGCGACGGCCACCACCCCGTAACCAGAGATCAGTGATGGTCACCACCCTGTAACCAGCGATCAGTTAGTCACCAGCACAGACCACAGTGACGGCCACCACCCCCTAACCAGCGATCAGTGACGGCCACCACCCCGTAACCAGAGATCAGTGACGGTCACCACCCCCTAACCAGAGATCAGTGACGGCCACCACCCCCTAACCAGCGATCAGTGACAGTCACCACCCCCTAACCAGAGATCAGTTAGTCACCAGCACAGACCACGGCACTGTCCTGTCATGTCACAAGGGCTGTGCTTGCCCAGAAGGCGTGGCGTCCGCTAAGTGAGAACACGCCAGACAGACCCAAAGTGGGACACACCCTACAATGTACCTGGACGGTTCCCTTCAACACCCCAGGGTCGTGAAAAGTGAGGCCGGACGAGGCCCCGTGCGGGAGAAGGCCGAGCGGATGCGGGAGGGAGCTGCCTCCTCCCGTGCTCCCCCAAGGCCACGGCCCCTGGAGTGCAGGGGCCGCTTCGCGGTCATGAGGGAAATGCTCTGCTGCCCCCCTCTGCTCTGCTCACATCGGCCCTGGGGAGCACCCTGAGCCAGCGGGGGCAGGAGCCTCCCTGGCTTCCACAGGGGACGTCCTCACAGCACGTCTCCCGTAAGCTGTCCCCGTTCCCGCGGGTCTCCCGTACCGCTCCCCCCTCCTCCAGAGCAGCTTGCGGTGCCCCCCACCCTGTGACGCTCAGCCCACGCGGGGCCCACACCCCGAGTCTCACCCTGCACGCCCGGCTCTCCACCCCTGAAACGTGCAGTCGTGACTTCACATGCGGTGTGCACACGTCGTTAGTAACGCACGAGGCGGGATGTCTGCGGTGTGCCCGCCGTGAGACTGCAGCCCCCCAAAGCCTGCCAGCCCCCTGCCGCGTCCCCCGCCTGCCGGCCACCGCCCGCCGTCACACCCACGGCTTGGCGTCGCCGTCCTGGAGTTCCACGGGACTCTGCAGGTGCTCCCTGCGTCCGCTCCGTCCCTCGCCCTGCGTCGTGGGGACGTGGTCAGCTCGCAGTGTGGGTGGGAACACCCTTGCACCTGAACTTTGACCATGACCCCACCCCCCGCCCTGGCTTTGCTGGGGGCGGGATTGCGTGGTCTTCAACTGGACATCTGCTTCCCCCGCCTTGTGAGGGCTCCCCTGCCCCTCCCTCGGGCAGCAGACCCCGTTTCCTGTGCCCCCGGCCCCTCCGTCGGGCAGCAGACCCGTTTCCCGTCTGAGAGGGGCCCTGGCACATGCTGTTGGCGTAACCACATGTTCTCAGTGCATCGCAGTTAAGTGACTGTGGCTAACAGGGTGACAACGGTGTGTGGCCTCTGGGACATGGCCTGGCTGGCTCAGCTGGGGGGACGGGGGGCGCCTGGCGTCTGCCGACGCGGCCTCAGGCTTTCCCATCGGTCCGCATGGAGCCAGAACGCGGCAGGGCAGCCAGGGACAGATGCGCCCCGAAAACCCTTTCCTTCCACCGTTTCCAAACTGAGCCGGAAACCGGCCCCGTGGGTCTGAACGACGCCAGCAGAGGACACGGCTGTCCTGGCTCACGGCTCCTCGTTCCACGGTGAAGCGACGTCTTCAATCTCCAGGCCAGCGCGACGGACGCGTCACGGCCGGACGCCGCTGTAACATGGAGACGTGTCTGGAGCGGGGGCGACGTCCAGTGGCCGTCGGGAACCCAGGTGCTCACTCTGGGCGCGGGGCCGCCCTGCTGATGGCCAGCAGTGAACAGCGTGTGTCCTGGCTGGCCCGCAGGCCGCCCCTGCCACACAGCCCCCTCCCTGGCCAGAACGTTCCTCTCTGAACAGTGTCAACGTGCTGTCCCGGGTCCTTCTCCTTTCCCAGGTAATTTACACAGCGCGCAGGCAGATTGTCCCCTGGCTGTCTCTGTGACCTCGGGGACATCCCAAAGCCAGTCAGAGACCCTGGCTGTCTCTCTGACCTCAGGCACATCGTTTTCCATCTGCCGCCTCTAACTCCTCCCCTCCCACATTCTGTGGCCCCGGGCGCTGTCCCCCGCACACTCCTGGAGAGCTGTCCTGACCGCCTATGGGGACGCACCAGACGCCACCAGCGGCGGTGGCAGAAGCTTCCTCGGTCTTGGCTCCCCTGGTGTAGGTAACGTCTCGGGCGCACTAACCCACCCGAGGCTGTGGGCACCCCGCCCGCGTCCCAGGCACTCGGCTAACAGAGGGACAGACGCGTGCCAGCTCTGCCGGGTGGCAGGTGAGTGGCCGGGGAATGACCGTGACACGGGAGCGGCGGGCGGGGACGAGTACGCGGCACTGAATCAGCATTTCCTCAATGAGCACAGGGCTCGAGCGCGACACAGTTTTTAAGAGTCTGATAAAATGAGCCGGAGTGGATGGTTTAGAGCTGCCTGAGCAGCGCTAAAATCTTGAATTAACAGAGGGTTTTTCTGCCATTATCAGCATCGGGCAATGACAAATGAGCGCCAAGCCCTACATGAAGGGTACGTCCTTAGTGCTGGGAGATCGTTACCAGCACGCGGACACGTTGGCACTCACAAGGGGGATGGCACATCTGCAGTGACTTCGGCGTGTGATGCTGTGCAGTTGGGGACATGTAGGGGACGACATCTAAGGGACGAGTACGCGATCCGAGCGAAGCCGATTGCTTCGGAGACACGTTTGGAGGGAAATGTTTGGAGCCGAGGCCCCGCAGACGCGCGTGTGGGCCACAGGCTGGGGGAGGCGCTCGTTAAGCGAACGGCCGCCGCGTCTGTGTCGGGTGGTCCTGGTCCCTGCCCTGGCGGACCACGTGCCTGTCTGCGAGGCCGCCGCTCCTCCCGGACGAGGGGCAGGATCCCTCCCGCCCGGGCTTCTG